AGGGCAAAGGCCAGAAATAAGCAGTAAAGAACAGCAGTACCCAAGCACCAAGTTTTTAATATACAATGGCACTATCAAAATTGACAACTGCAAACCAGCTTCTCTACCCTGGAGGACAAGAAGTAGAGAATAGGGCATAGATGGGTGCTAGACCCTTTCTCCTAGAGCCAGAATATGAACAGATCTAAAATGGAAAGAGAAATGTTCTAGCTTTCAAATTTAAGAAAGTCAGAAATTAACTTCTAGGGCCGGCCCGGTGGCACACTCGGTAGAGTGCGGCGCTTGGGAGCGCGACGGCGCTCCCGCCGAGGGTTCGGATCCCATATAGAGACCGGTCTGCTCACTGGTTGAGCGCAGTGCGGACGCGACACCAAGGGTTGCGATACCGTTGCCGGTCGCGGTACGGGCGCGGACACCGAGGGTTGCGATCCGGTTACCGGTCACGAAAAAAGACAAAAAGGAAAAAAAAAAAAGAAATTAACTTCTAGACAATGGCTAAAGAAAAAAATTATTAACATAATCTCTTTGAATGATGTGGATACTAATGGGGTGGTTTTTAAAGTCTTTTGCAGATCTCCAGCACAAGCCTCTGCTAGTTGATCTCACGGTAGAAGAAGGTCAAAGATTAAAGGTTATTTTTGGTTCACACACTGGTTTCCATGTAATTGATGTTGATTCAGGAAACTCCTATGATATCTACATACCATCTCATGTAAGTGTCCGGAAGCAGACTGTCAAAGGGCTCTCTGTACAAACAACAGCCTGCATGTAGAAAGAGATTTGTTCTTGCATATTTTTGGTAGAAGTCATGCTAACTTTTACTAATCAGTAAAGCAGATGGACTTTTGGCCTTCATCAAATAGACCAAATGTTTTTAATAAGTAAAACATGTAAATTTAACTGATTTTTATGACATGCTAAAACTGAGTAACACAAAATAGGAATTATTTGACAGTTATTCTACATGTTGTCTCTTTGTACTTTAGATTAAAATGCATATATTTTTCCTTCAAGGTCATAAATTTTGTACAATAGATGAGTTCCCATTTTCAGTTTTTGAAGGGGGATTGATTCATTTTATGCAGGAGAAAGCCAATGGTCAGATACTAATTTCTTGGAGAAAATCCTTTTTCTGCTATTTTTAGTTTGCCTCTTCAGCTTGAGGACAGTGTGGTGTAGTTAAGTCAGACACACTGGAGCTGATACCCTGTCTCTAGCATGTAATAGCTTTGCGGTAATGGACATATTAGGTAACCTCTCCACCCTTCAGCTTCCGCATCTGTAAAGTGGGGATTAAAGGACCAATTCCATAGGTTTATCATCAGTATTAAATGAGGTCATGGATCTAAAGTACTTGGCACAGTGCCCTGCAATTGTAGTTCTTCTTAACAATATAATATTCATATTACTATTCTGACACATTGCCTAAAACATGACTCTTAAAGGGAAATGATGCACATGTATTCACTTATTAGGATTAATATAGTGTAAGTTGTATGTCCTGTATATAATCACAAGGCTGACATACAGTAGAAACTATTTATCAGAAGAGTCTGAGGCCAAATCTGTTGCTGATTGGTATTTTGAGAGTTTGAAGACTTTACTCTAAAGAAGTGTAATAATTGAATAAAGTTGTTTTAGTACATTTACATACTCACATACAATTTTTATTCATTGTTGCATTATACCTTTTAACTCTAGTGTGTGCATGTGTGCACAGAGGCTCACAGCTCATGTCCTCAGTGAGGTGGCTGGGGCTTCACTGTGATCATCTTTAGTGTTCTCATTCCTGTCTATCAAGCATATATGGGGCTGCCATCACATTCTCAACTAGGGGATCACAACGGCACCACATCTTTTTCCTGGAACAAGTCAATCTATACTTATTTCAATAGTGTGATTTTTTAAATGAGTGTTTAAAATTTAATTCTAAATTTCTTTCTAAACAATCTGTTGGTTTGTATTATACTGGTAATTAGGCACACAGATAAACAATCTGCATTATATACTCATAGCCTGTTTGATAGGAGTTTGTCTTGGCCCCAAATTTGGGGCCCATTTAGGCTATCTCCATCAGATTTAGCTGGCTTGCTCCTTATCTTTTTCGGAAGTAGTTGTTCTAATGGAAAATTTCAGTGTCAGCAAGATGTGTGCTCGAATCCCAGTTCTACCACCAAATACTAGCACAGCTTTGGTCACGTAACATAAGCCTTCTGAGATGCAGTTTCCTCATCTGTAAACAAAGATATCTACTGTGAGGTGCTATTCTGAGGGCTAAGAATTGTACATGTAAAGGGCCCAGTGATTGGCACATAGTAGGTGCTCCATAGAGGTTGCTGTGGTTCTTCTTAGGAGCAGGTAAATTGGATTCTCAATCTAGCAACTACGTTTGTGTCTACCAGGATACTTGATGGTCAGTGGTGAAATTAAACAAAGCAAATTTCAGTCTCTAGAGTGAAAATGAAAAAAAAAAACCCTCTTTTTTGCAGTTCTTAGGGATGAATAGTCAAGGTGTTGACTTATTCTTGAAAAGAATAATGCTTGGCCTTTCTTTGTCTTCTAGATTCAGGGCAATATCACTCCTCATGCTATTGTCATCTTGCCTAAAACCGATGGGATGGAGATGCTTGTTTGCTATGAGGATGAGGGGGTGTATGTAAACACCTACGGCCGGATAACTAAAGATGTGGTGCTCCAATGGGGAGAAATGCCCACGTCTGTGGGTAGGTTAACCATTCCTTATCTCCTTCAGCAGTTACACCCCCCAAATGAAACGAAAGTCAAGAAATGTGAAACAACCATTTGATTCCACAGAAAAAAGTCTGTGAAAGTCTGTGAATGACACTTGTAAGACTTGCTTTGTCTGTTTATCTCAAGTCATTTGTCATTTTTGTGGTTAAGATGTGAGCAGATGCTGTGAATTGTTGCCCATCTAATGTTTTTAATGCAGTTTTGGAAATTCCTTTTGACAGCCTACATTCATTCCAATCAGATAATGGGCTGGGGCGAGAAAGCTATTGAGATCCGGTCAGTGGAAACAGGACATTTGGATGGAGTATTTATGCATAAGCGAGCTCAAAGGTTAAAGTTTCTATGTGAAAGAAATGATAAGGTAAATCCGTTTCAACATTTGCATTAGTGTTTGCATTTTAAGAGACCACCAGGTACCTGTGAACCTTCATTTTCCTTTATACTGATTTGAATCACATCTGTGTTAAACAATCAATATTATCTTGAAATGGCATTATTTGGTTTGAATCATGTGAACACTCAAAATATATTATTCACATATCAAAAAAGACATCAAAACATCTAGAGATTTCTTGTAACTTTTAGTACCTTTTGTGGCCTGCAGGCCTTATCATGACTCAGCAGACACCCCAAATTCTCCTAAGCACTTAGAGTAATTGGCCTATCACTAATCCTCTCACAGTGGGTCAACTTTATACTTCCACTTGTAGACTTTTCACAAAGTCACTTTCGGGACCTAACCCATCACGTTATAGTCATCCTTAAATGTAAAACATTTGACATGTAGAAATATAAACTTTTAAAAAGTGTCACCCATTCCTTAAAGAATGCACTATCACAAACTCAACTAGTGCCATGTCCTGTGTCATTCCAGCCATGTTTCCTCTGAAATGTCATAGGGGGACTGTTTTCCAGTGAAATTGGCTGTGTCCGTCTGGTGCGATCAGTCACCCCAGAGGGGTGCTCTGCAGCAGTGCTGCTTCTCCCTTCCCTCCCTGTATAGAGTAGCCCAGAATTTTTAGTAGCTAAACTATACTGCACTTATGAATTCATCCTTTGTGGCTTTGGCCAACATAGAAATGCCGTCCCAAAAGCAGCAGACGTAAACACCTGTAGAAAAGAATGTGATGTCTGTCTCTTTGCCCACGACAGTTCCCCAGATGCCAGGCTGGTCTTAGTCCAACCCTGTGGTATGGGTCTTCACTGTATTCAGCCCTGGCCAACTGCTCTGACCTGGTGTGGTCTGTGTAGACCAGAGCTTCAGGTGGCAAGGATGGTTCCAGGGACCTCACAGAATATTCCAGAAAACATACCTCGCCTAGTAAAACTCCTGCACCCTCCCAGTCTCTGGGGATCATAAACACGAGAAGTGACCTGGGTATGGGCACCCACACTGCAGTCCTGGAAGACGGACCCCAGCAGGCCTGTTCCAAGCCATGCCCACACCCTCAGCAGTAGGCTGAGACCACACCAGTGTCCGGGGCCCGAGGGTTAGAACCCAGGCACACAACCTGGAGAGAACAGCAGCCCTTTCTTTCCCTCGGTGTGGTTTTCCATGGATCCTCTCTGTCCTTCCCCGTTTTGATTCATTAGCCCTAAGGGTAGCTTTAGTCTCACATGTAGCATTAGCCAGACGCAAGCATTTCCACAGAACTCCCAAGAAGTTGCTGTTGGGAGAGAGCGTTCTTCTGAAGAAGTTGTGGAAATGAAGTAGCAGAGACTTTATACTAGTGACAAAAGCAAATGCCTCGGACCAAAATGAGGTGTTAGCGGAATGAAAGGCTAGGCCACTTCTTCAGGTATTATTTTCCTGGAGTAGTGGCTCATTTACATTCAGCTTAAGCAAGTCGTCACCCAAATTTTGCTCACTTCCCTCACTTGTTTGATAAAATGATATAACAGACTCAGGCCTAATGGACTGTGGTTCCGCTTATTAATGCCGTTATTTGGCCTAGGATGTGCTAGCATCAGCGGAGAAGTAAAGCGTTAACTCTTGAAGTGCCATAATGAATAAGCATTAAACACCTTACCCATTCTGACCACAACCATTTAAATTTTTTTATTAAAAATTTTAAAATTGAAAACTGAAGTTGTGTAATAGTGAGTATCCCCCTCCCCGCAAATCCCCCTTTGACTTTAGGAATTTGAAAGGATTCCCTTCCGTCCTGAAGTCCGCCTTCTTCCCATTTATGGGGGAGAGAAGGGGAGCCCCTATGCGTTTCTAGAAGTTAACAAAGGACCTGTTGTGTCCTAGGCCAGAAATCCAGCATATTATCCTAGCACAAAACTCCTTTAAAAAGTGAACAACCAAAGGAATGTTACAAATCAAGATATAGCCCTTTCAGTGTCCCCAGAGGCCAATACCACAATAAGTAATGACAATCACAGCAGTAAAGGCAGGAGTATTTACATAGGATGCACTATATCAAAAGGCACTTTATAAACACCAGCCATTGAGTCTTAAGAGCTGACACATGGCCAGGATAGGACATGTGAGAGAAAATGGATGGACAGTTGAAGAAAAGAGGGGAAACAACAATGCAGTTGAACTAACTTCTTTTTAATTTCAAACAGGTATTTTTTGCATCCGTGCGATCTGGAGGAAGTAGCCAAGTGTTTTTCATGACCCTCAACAGAAATTCCATGATGAACTGGTAACAGAAGAGCACTTGGCACTTATCTTCATGGCGTTATTTCTTATTTAAAAGAACGTAACTCATGTGGACTTATACCGGTCTAGAGGCAGACTCAGAAGGCTTGGTTGAACATACCACTTTCCCCTTTTCCTCTCCCTCCACCCTTCCCAGTACAGTCCATCTTTCAATGTTGCAGCCTGGTTGAGAAGGAGAGAAAAAGGTGCTGGAATTTCCAGGAGATCCCCAAGAATGCTGCGTTGTCTGTGGACAAAGATGGACCATGTGCCCTTCGGAGTTAGGGATAGAAACAAATATTGTGTGCTCTTATGATTAAGCTGTGTTATGGTGGGTTTTGACTTTTTTTTAACATTTTTTCTTTACCCCCTTACTTTGTAAGACTGGGGAGAGAATGCATACTGAGAAAATGAGTTTGTTTGTAATTCTGTCTGCCTGCTAGCTTCAAGTATGTGGTATGTTGTAAAATTTCCAGTGGGGTTTTGACTTTTTTTTAACATTTTTTCTTTACCCCCTTACTTTGTAAGACTGGGGAGAGAATGCATACTGAGAAAATGAGTCTGTTTGTAATTCTGTCTGCCTGCTAGCTTCAAGTATGTGGTATGTTGTAAAATTTCCAGTGGTGAGAGACAGCACAATAAATGTACCTTATCTCTTAATGCTGAAGGCCATAACTGCATAGTGGGGTAATTCAAGAACTCTCTTGCCTTCACCAACTCAAGAGGTTGCTTTTCGATAGCAACTGGCTAATGAATTTTTAAAAGAGAAGAAAAATACTAGATTTCCCCTCTTTTGGGAAATAGATTTTAAATGGCTAAACTACTAGCCTTAGTCTAATAAAATCAACTACCACTTTTGTGAGTCTGATGGGCCATATTTTTATATGGCCCTTTACAGAATGGAATGTGTTGAATGGGATATAATGCCAGTGAGTTGAGTCAGCCTAGCAATTGAGGGACACTTTCTCTCAGCTATTATAAAACAGATCATGGCAAAAGATGGAATGACAGACGGGGTCAAACAGAAAGAGCTTCTGGGAAACAAGCTTACACACACACACACACAACACACACACACACACGCACACACACACACAGTCTGTCTCTCTCTCTCTGTCTTTTTTACATGCACAAAGCCTCCCAGCTAAGAGGTCACTTGGTTTGAGCTTTACTAGGATGGAGACTTTGTTGAATTCTTTCTGGTAATTGGGGAGTGGATGACATCCAAGCTCTGGACATTCCCAGCTCTCTCTTGAGGGTGCCACTTTCTCAAGATGGAAACTGTGACTGAAAAAAAATGAATAATACATGTTTCTGAGCTGCCTGTGTTCTCCCTGGGTCCGTGAGAGAAGGGACTAGACTCCTGAGCCTGCCTCAAACACAGCAGGCATCATTGGCTCAGATTTTAAAGAACTTGAAAGCAAGGCTTTGGCCAGAATTCTGAGACCCTAATCACTTTACCTTCCTCCAAATTACCCAACATACAGTAAACAACATTTGTGCAGAGATATGTATGTATTTAGTTCAGGTTGACTTGTGTCCTTATAAACTCTTACTCGAATGATTTGAACTTTTACGTGACTGTCTGGGATTTTTTTTTTCCAAAGCTACAAGCATGGCCACCTGTGGTATCAAGGTGTTGCAAAATGGTATATGTGTTGCTCTTCTTGTTTTAACCTACCTCGTTTTGTTTGTTTTTGTTTCACTGTTCATCACAGCAGTGTTATCTCCAGGAGACATATAGAGAGCTCAACTGGCAATCTCAGGTGTTTTCAATATTTTTAAAACAGAACAGTAGTTGACCAAATTGTTAATTGGGAAAAAAAATCCAATGACAAAAACTAATGTGGCTTGTTTCTGGAGAAAGTGATTATGGTAAACTGATCAAAAAAAAAAATCCATGATCCTACTGATTTTGCCTAAATTCATGAGCAGCTGATGTACTATTAATGAGAACGAAATACACATTAGGAAAATGGAGCCATTTCAATCTGGTGTTTTGGGCAAGGGGCGGGGGAAGAGAAGGGGAAATATTCTGGTTTCTAGATTAGATGATTATTATGCCCCTCTTGGAAAGGTGGTTGTCATTTGCATTTATTTTAAGCAGGTAACACACTGAAATGCAATTGAGGATTATCTTCAGGCAAACCCCAAGATGTCCTCTTCATGGTCCCGTTAGCTCTCAAAAGCAATGAAATCCTCCCGTTCTCATTTTTACTGCTGTGGTTGTGCTGCTGATCTATACTATCTTCACAAATTCCATGCAACAAATTCAGCAATAACTTTTTGGATTGAATTTAGCAACTACTGTGATTGGATGCTGACGTGGACAAAATATATTGATTTGGGTCTCATCTCCAAATGTGATTGCCACCAGCTCTTTATATTGCTGCTGTGGTATTTTAAACCAGAAGCTTCTTTAAATTATGTTGCAAACTGATCTTTGTTTTTATGTTTTGTTTTGTTTTTATTTCTAAGTGATAAGTTTGAAACACACAGCTTTAAATGATTTTTTTATTGTGGGATTTTGGGTACAGTTAAGAAATAAAAGGGAATCATTGTGTTTAAACATAAGGTAGCTTGTGAATGTATTTTTTAAAATCTAGATTCATTGAAACAAAAAAATCATAAGAAAACAATATTAACGCAGTCTTGTTTACAGTATGTACAGTGACATAACATAGAACATGAGCTTTTCTGGTGCCAACAATAAAACACAAACGTTAAACATCAAGCCATGCCTTTTATATTTTTGTACAAATATTTTACACTGAGACAAAGCGAAACCAAATTTAAACGCCCCCCCCACACACACACAAATTTGTGCTCCTTAAAAGATATCTAAAGAATTCCTTGAAGCTTTTATCTTCAAAAATACATTTCTCCCATTGGGACAGGCCCTAACCCTGACGTAGTAACGCTTAGGGAAGGTCATGCAGAATATATCAGAATGGTGTCCTTGTGGCTCCTACAAGTCCCAACTTTTTGGTTTGCTTCAACTTGGGGGAGGAGATGCTTTTCATCCATCTTAATAGCTTCTTAATAAAAATATCTTTGGTTTTAATTTCCCGGTAGGGGATTTTGTCTCTGGAAATTGGCTCATTTTATTTTTATTTTTATTTTTCTCACAAAGAAAAAACTGAGGAAACTGAGCCTTCCCCCCAAAGGAAGTTCCACTAGATCTGTCAGTCCTTGCTGCTCTAGACTGATAATCATCCAGTCAAATCCACTGAGCCTGTCCACTCCACAGTCTTGGTCTGGGGTCCTGCAGGTGACCATCATTCCAGGGTGGCAGTCAGGGATGTTGTAGCATGGATTCCTGCGTCCACTGGGTGGTAGGAATAGATGAGCGGTAAGATCCCTTCAAATAGAGTCCTCCCCACGCCAGTTGCATTCAGACCATTATCATTGCACACAATATAAATGAAGGCAGCTTGTACTAAGTTTGTGGTAGGAATAGATGAGCGGTAAGATCCCTTCAAATAGAGTCCTCCCCACACCAGTTGCATTCAGACCATTATCATTGCACACAATATAAATGAAGGCAGCTTGTACTAAGTTCCATATAAAATCTAATGGCTCTATTTAGATAGATCTCATTCTTTTTCTTGGAGACTTTTACACAATGCTTCAAGAAGACCTAGAGCTATTTTTTTTCAACAGGGTAGATTAAGGTACGAGTGAAGTCTCACAAGGCTACTTGGACAGGGACTCCATTTCTCTAACACTCTGACATTGTTTTCTAAGATGTACTCCTAACATACCTTGCATCAAATACATGTTTTTAAAAATCATCTTAGTTTCTGGTTGTCAAGCCCTACTAACAATTTTCTGTCTGCTGTTGTGACTCATTGGTAATTGGTGTCTCTGGTCCCTCCTGCACAGTAGATTAGAGAGATGTGAAATTCAGGCCAGAACCATTTTGGTTTTGTCCATTGTGAGAAATGGAAGTGGCTAAAGTCTGACCTCACATTCCATGAAATTAAAAACAAAAAACAGAAAAATGCTTTCCCTACTATCATGTGTACCAGTTCTCATCATTGTAGTCTTGAAGCGTGGAAGAGCTCTTGTGTCAGTAGTGTGTGCTGTCTTTGAAAGTCTGCTTGAATAGACATCTCTTGCATTTGTGCTGATTGCTTTAAGATGTAAGATTTGCTACTTTATTTTTAAGAAAGAAGATATAGTTAATGATCAAACTTTAATTTTAACCTACTGCAGGAAAAATGAGAAAGTACACAACACACCGATGACAATTCTGTGTCACCCTATGCTCTGTATATTCCAAACCTCCTGCAATACTATGTTCTGACTATCTCAGCAATTTCTGTAAATTGTAACCTTCTAGTTCATTCAAAAATTTAAATCTCACCAAATCAAACAAAACATAACAAGCCGACCAACCAAAAGTGACCTCCCCTGAGACTACATGGTTACAACATAAGATCTAAAATCCAAAAGTCTAAATTTGATTTAATTTAGCTGCCAATATTTCTCATAAATGCCACTGCATTCTGGTCTTGGTCAGTATAGCGATATCAGGAACCCTAAAGAGAGCTGTCCTTTCATGGGTCTCAAATAAAATGGGTATAAACTGATCTATTTTCAGGTGCCTGAGCAAAGAAGAAAAACCTGTTGAGAATTTGCAGGTTCAAAACTGAAAATTTGCATATTTCTACTGTTGTTTTGATTCCCGTACTGTATCATTGTTCTGGGAATTTTCCCATACAAGACTAGAATATTCAACAATATACATAGCATTAAACAGTGTGAGATCATAACCCTGTGCTTTGAAATTTATTCTAGACTTGCCATTCCTGAAAGTGCCAGAATGCACCCAAAATAAAACCCCATAAAAGCAGTTTTTAAAACAAAATCCCCAGATAAGGTTTGAGCTATCTTAACTCCAGATCAAAATCTTGGACTCTGTTCCATGATGGCAAACATTTGGATGAAAATTTTAAAATATGGTTAAAAATAAAAGTGCTCTAAAATCTCCAGATTTCTGGCTGTATAGCTATCTTCAAATTCACTCACTCTTTGCATGATAGGGTTTGGTTTTGCTAGGTTATTTTTATCAGCACCAAGTTGCATTCATTGCATGCATGAGGCCGAGCAAATGCTGGTGGAAAGGTAAGTTTTCATTTCCAGCAATGGATCATTATTTGTACATAGCAAATATCCATGCCCCACTGCTCCTTTTTCTTCCCCCAGGGTAAGTGTTAAAGCTTAGTAATACTTACGATGGCTTGTTTAGGAAACCTCAGATATTACCCTGAATCAGAATTTCAAATGTTAGATGGCAAAAGAAAAGA